GGGGGGCGGCGTGTCGGCCTCCCCGTTGCGGAGAGCCACGCTCCCTGCGCTCTTGGGGCAGTTCTAGATCGGGATGGGGTGGGGGGAACCGTGGAGCTTGGCATGGCAGGAGGGCAGGTTCTCCGCTGGCAGAAATGGCCGTGGGTACCTCGTTTTCACCCAAGGTGTGGTTCTCAGGCCTGAATGTAGCTGGTGTCATTCCTGGTGTTGCCATGTCCCGGCTGTCGTTTACGTGCTCACGCACTGCTTCCTCCTGCGTTGCAGGCTTAGAGGGAAAAGCACACCTGGCAAAGCTCCATCTCCCCTCTGGAAGGGTAATTCCTGGGGGTGCTCGGGGAGGACTGCTACTGACCAATCCCTGCATGCCCTCCCGTGGCTTGGTGTCTCCGAACGGACCCAACTCACCGCGTTTGTGACGGGTAGTTTTCCTGCTCGGCGGCAGGGCTGTCACCTTGCCTTCGTTTGGCACTCACCCCAGTGATCTCCGTGGGAGTTCGAGGAGGGAGACAGGATTTCACCCCATCTCTCTCTCCGTGTGGTATTATGGAACACTCAGCGCACAAGTATGTGCACTTCATCAGCTCTGCTATTAATTAAGCGTGTTCCTGGGGGACGTACTTAGCCAGATGTGACCAAGTCACCAAAGCGCTTGGAGCTGAGCTGGCTTTTGTCTGGAATTCGTGTGAACTGTGAACGTGAACTCTGGTGTTTTCAGGGGCAAGGGAAGAAGTTGTTTTTTGTGTGGAAGGGCCGTTTCTCAGGTTATTTTTGAGCTAAGGCTACAGGGTTAGAACATGACATTTTTCCCTCAGAACTCGGGAATCACGTGCAGGGGACATAAATGAAGGCATAAAGCAGAGACGTTTTATCTGCCATGAGCAGAGTGACCCAGAGCAAGCCAGCGGGCCATCTGGATGATCTGCCTATGTGATCCTTGGCACTTACTGGTGCCTGGTACCGTATTTAACTCAAACACAGTTTTGCTCTGAAAAGTGACTTTATTTATAAAGTTGGTATCATGAAGTTCCACAGTTCACTGTGTTTCCATGCTCAAGCATGCTCACTTTATCAGTCAATGAATACTTATTCTTGACTCTGACTTTGCACATCTGTTTCTGAAATAAGCCTTTTTTTTATAGCTCAACCTCAACAAGGATTCAGTAACTGGAAGTTAGCAATTGTATTGGCTATATACAAATCAAAATAAAATCTAGTTTGCACTGTCATAACTGTGTTGACTCCACAGGGGTTAGCAAGAGTAAAATTTGCTTTACAGCTGAGTCATTTGAACAGATGTGGTTCTGATTATGCACAAAAACTAATGAAATAGTGCCACTTTTATACAGTCACTTTTTAGACTGTTCTTCAAATATTTTCTTTGCATTAAAACAACTATAGTTCTCTAAATTCCCTTTACCCAGGTGTTAGTTGTCAGTTGCTGGGTACCACTGGATATATTCTAGGATGACGCCAGGTATGCTGGTATGAAGAGTGAGGGTTGACAAAAGCATCGATCCAGCTGTGGGACTGTTAATCGGAAAACAGGCTAGCGAATGATTTCCTCAGGTTGCGGATGGTCTCGGCTTTTGCTTCGTCTTCATTGGCATTCCCTCGCTGAGATGACTCAGATATGTTGAAGGTGTTTGTCAGGGACTGCGATTTGCTGAAACAGAAAACAGGGTTTGGACTCAGCAGGGGAAAGTTGTAGTTCAAAGGTGGCTACTGATGCTTTGTGCTCCATCACACAGGCAAATTCAGGGATGAAAGCAGACATAAGCAAGGAGAATCTCCATATGCTAAGACAGCCAGGAAGAAGGGGAGGGGAGAGGATGGGGCATGGGCAGGTGACCGATACTGATCACAGTGTGTGTTTATGAAAACACTTGATTAAAAACATGCAATTGGCATTTGGTGCTACTGTTGTGAGGAAAAGTTCAGTCATTTTACTACTGTGCTGGTTTTAGTCAGGACAGGGTTAATTTTCTTCACAGTAGCTTGTAAGAGGCTGTTTTGGATTTGCCCTGAGAACAGTACTAATAAGGTGTTTTTTTTAGCTCGTGCTGGGCAATGCTTGCACCAATTCAAGGTCTTTTTCAGCTTCTGATACTTGCTGTGCTCCCAACTTTCTCACTACAAGCAGTGGGGGGGACACAGTTCAGACAGCCGACCTGAACTAACCGAAGGAGTATTTCGTTTCATAGCACGTCCTGCTCAGTACATCACCTGGGAGTGGGCTGGGGGGTCATAGCTCACTTGTTTGTTAGCTCGTTTGACCCTGCATTCGTTCATTCATTAGTGAGTTGGTGGGTTGGTTGGCTTTCCTGGTCGTGCTGTCACTCGTGGGGGTTTCTTGGACTCTGCTGCAATTGATCTAAGGCTCTGGCTTTTGGACTCTCTGGCTCTGACTCTTGCCTCTCAGGACGTGGCTGTGTACTGGTTGGTGGGTGGTGAGTAACTGTAGAATTTGTTTTAATTACTTATTATTAGTAGTATTGTTAATATTATTCGTATCACTATAATATTAATTCATACTCAATTATTAAATAGTTCTTATCTCAATTCATGAGCTTCCTTCTCTTTTCCTCTCGTCCTCTGAGTGGCTGTACTTTATTGCTAGCCTGGGTTAAACCACAGCAACTACTAACAGAGAATGGGTTCATACTGAGGGTCACCAGTCTCTCATCAGCCATACCATGAGTGGCAGTCCTGTCCTTCCAAATGTGACAGCCTGAGAGGTTTGGCAAATTGGTAGCCATGTCCCCTACCATGTGAGCTGTTGCCTGCCCTCCCTGGCATGTCTGCTCTGACTGCCAGCTGTGACATGCAGGTCTTCTGGTTGGCCACACTGCTCTTGATGGATGTGTTTCTGCTGATGTTTAAGTTCAGATCAGGACTGTGCTTTAGAAGTACATCTCCCAGTTTTCCCCACTTCCCATGCTTTGTCACTGTGTGGTTTCTCCTGGTCAGTAATAGGCATTTCGCGCAAGACCAGACTGAATTAAAGTATTTGGAACACGTATAGTGTGATAACTGCATCCTTAGCACCAACATTTTGATCCTTAATTACACTGCTCTTGGTTTCCCTTGCTAATGTAGACATCATCGCTGAAAGCCTATTCTAGAACATCACTCCTCTGCTGCCTAGAGACTGCCTTCTCATTCCTAGCCTGTATTTTGTTCTGGTCTGCTCATACCAATTCACTCTCATGTCAACTTTTTGTTAACACCAAATGTTGTTCTGCCAGTCTTTCCTGCCATGGTGCCAGCCAGATATGCTCCATGGAGGGCGGCAGCAAAGGCTGCTACCCAAGACCACAATAATTCAGTGGTGGTGTACTGTGCTCCAGAAGAATGCTTAAACACAGTCACCATCTGGAGTTTTATATATATGTCAATAATATCACTTCCACGTCCCTCTGCCTTTTGCTACCAATTACAAAACATTGCATGGTAAAGAACCTTGTGTGGCTCCAGTATTCAGGGAATAGTGAAAGAATGACTCTAGCTGAGCTTTCTGGCCAATAATGTACTGATTACAGCCTGCAAGAAGTATACACCCTGCTGGGAAGGCAGTAGCTGTGTTGATACAGCCAGGATAGAGCACATGATTTACGAAGAGCACGTGAACAAGAAGAAGAACGCGAAATCTTGGAGATGTCAAATGCAACTTGTTCTTCCTGACAACAGCTCAGTGGTGGCCTGTTATGCCCGGGCTTATGTATCTCTGAAGGCACTTGCAGTTGTCCAGGCCTTTGTCCCTGGGGACTATTGCCTGTCAACAGGTGAGATGTTCTTCATGTCAGCTCACAGTACTTTTCTGACAGCCTTATTCTAATATCTGTAGCTATTAGTGGTTTAGCAGAGCACCTACTTCAGATGCGGGTGTGGGGCAGCTTGCTGCTTGGACGTTTCAGTGGGGCTTGGCTGGCTAGGAGCTCGGCCTTGAGCAGGAGGCCTAGGCTGCTGTGGAGGGAACACGCCTGCCTTGGAAGCCTGGACTGGAGAAGACCCGGTTGCTGATCGGACTTGCTGTGGAGATCCAGGTGACCTTTGCTGCTGAGGAGAAGTGGACTGGGGACTCTGGGGCTGCTGTCCTTGAGGAGAGAGCCGCTGCTGTGGAGGTGCGTTTGTCCGTGGAGGCTGAGATCCCGGAGGCTGGCGTGGTCCACCTGAAAGGGATGTGTAGACATAAACATGAGGAAGGTCATGTGGCAGGCAACAAGCAAGGAGCATCTATATGGAAGAATGGGTTTTGCTAAGGGGAGAGAGTGTTCAGAGTAGCTTCATGCATAAGGATAAAGGAAAAACCTCTTTTATAGGCTTAACGCTGGTGTGATGCCCACATCTCTATAGAGTTGTCTATTTCTCTACCTCCTTCAGCACTGAAGAAGCTCTGCCACTCTCCCCAAAGGAAGCCACTTCAGCGTGCTGTACTCTTACATGTAACTAATGTTTCTTATCCTTGGCAAGCACTTCCTGCATTGGGAAGGAAGAGTAACTGGAAATCCAATCCTGTGCAGAAAATGAAAGCGCAATCTGCTGGTTTGGGTCAGCAGTCCCTTCATGGGCCCAGCAGTTTGATATGAGACTGTGCACCCATACATCTCTTCCAGCATTATCACCAGGTGGCTTCAGCCATGTTGGTAGCAGACTCTCAAAACTGAAGAGGATGTGGAAAACAATTGGATGTGATGTGTGAAATTGCTGAACATGACAGATAACAGTGTGAGAAGCTGACAAAAGTTACAGTTAGCGTTGTGAGGGCTGGCTGGATTTCACACAGGGTTAAGGGGAAGTTATGTGAGAAAAAACTTAGCAGAGAATTGGAGTACTGGAGGCAGATGGGGAAGTAGTATCCTGCCTGGCCAGCAACTCCTAGGTCATCATAGCAGTAATTGCGTGTAATGCCAAGATTGCATAGGTGCATTTGGTATCAGAAATACCAAATTCTGGGTAGAGTTAAACTGTGACCAATGAGGAAAAGGTGGTTGGAGGTGGTTGTTAATTAGGAAGGAGATTGGAATGGAGAAAGGAAAGGACAAAGGTGTCAAAAAGGAAGGTCTGATTGCTCATTTGAACTGAGTGGTTGGTGTGGTCTGGGTACCTGTGGGGCAGCCCTGTGCTTCATCACCTCTGCGTAAATTAGGACAATTAACCAAATACCTCATTCTGACCAACCACGTGAGTCAAACCTGCTTCTGCTGTCAGGGGGAACACTGGACAGGGGAACACCTGGAGCGATGGATTAAGAACCCTGGCATTGCCGCGTTGCTGTCTGTTCCAACCCTGACAGCACCAGCATCTTCCCATCCCTTCATAACACTTGCAGCCACTTGTAGCAGTTTTGTGCAAACACAGATACACTCTGTGCCCAGAATCCTGCTCCTGTGCCAGTTCAAGTGGCCTCGCTTTGCTGTGCTGAGTTCTACCAGCAGTGTCAGCTGGATCTGTATCAAAGTTTCACCCCACTTTCTGAGCTGCTGTGCAATATGCCAGCAGCTCTTTAACAGCACACTGAATTTGCTGCCTGCTCGTCAGTGAAGTGGAACAAGTGAACCTTTGCTAGATAGCTTTTGTTTAGAAGGAAAAGGGATAACAACTCACAGCCCATACTGTCATGGGGCCCGAAGAACTGTACCTTGGGGAGGAGGCCGTGGTTGGGACAGCTGTCCAAGCGGAGGTCCAGTCTGAGATTTCATTGCCGCAGGCTGAACTTGTGGAGGCTGGAGGAAAAAAAGCCATTCCAGTTAATACAGAGTCCCCAAAGAGAAGCCCTGAGGTTATACAGGAACTGGGGAGTCCTGAAGTGTTCCTTAAAAACACACATACACACACATGCAGCATCTGGCTGTTAAAATCTCATGGGACTAAAATGGAGAGCTGAGTAATAAAGAGCACAGAAGTTGTTTGCTCACAGGGAATAACAATGAAGTTACAGTTTAGAGTGTTTTTTAGGCAATCAGGAATTAGCAAATGTATCAGGCCTGAGGGGTCTCTTAGTCCCATCTCCCATTTTGGACAGGTTCCAGCACCAGATGTTCCAAAGGAAGGAGGGATGAACCGTGGAAACATCTATGGAGTAATCATCTCTTTACCCTAAGGGGTCTCCTCTTGATTGCTAATAAGGAAGGGCCAGCTTCAACCCTGAAACATGAAGCTTATTATCTGCTCCACCAAATCTTTGCAACAGTTCCAGATATTTTGTTTTGATATTGACACCCAGACCCTTTGAGTCTTGCTCAGCTCTCAGCGTCACTGCCTTTCTCATTTCTGAACTCTGTTGCTTCGTTCTGAGTTTTGAGAGCAGTTCTCACAACCTGCCCTTGCTAGGTCATTTGTTATTTTGTAAACCTTTGCTGCCCTTTCTCTCATTCACCTCCTTTCTAAAGCCAAGAGACTGAATCCCTTTGGTCCCTCCATGGGAATGTTTCCAGGCACATAATTGTTTTCATCACCCACTTCTCTTTCCCAGCTTTGTGATTCCTTCTGCAGATGCCAGAGGCAGGTCTGCTTACATTGTTCCAGATGAAGCAGTTTTTGGGTTCTCTGTATACGTCACCAGCTCATTTCTCCTGCATCCTGATTTCCTGCTTCTCCCTTGTCAACACAACCATAGGCTGAGCAATGGTTTTCATTAGCCTGTTTGCGACAAAGTCTTTCTCTAGGGGCATGGGTACTGCCACTTGCAAGGCCTACGGATTGTTTATGTTGTCCCCCTCTCTACCCCCAGCTTAGCTTACCTTTCAATGTTCCATATGGGGTTTCATTTGCCATCGTGGTAACTTAACGTAAAGGACATCTCTGTCAGATGTCCTTTGCTGCCATCCCTGATCCTGACCAACCTGAATACGTTGGTGCCATCTCTACTTTCTTCTCTTTCACTGTTTACTTTTTGACAGATATTTTAATATACAGATTAAGCAACACAGAACTGTTGCACAGAGGGCCGGTCCAAGGTCAACAGAACTCTGAGTATGCCTATTGCACAAAATTGTTTATGAAAGCAGGCGAAGCTGGAGACAGATTGGCTGGTATGTGCCGGATTATTTACATGGAGAACACAATGATAAAAGTGTCTTCAAGGCTCCTGAAAGGTCAGGAGAATGAGCTAAGTGATTCTGGAAATGGGAGGTAATGTTTCATAGTTGGAAGCGCTGAAATGAGTTTCAACTGACCAACATAAATGCAATGAGGTTGCCAGCCCATCTTTTACACTATTTATCTGGGACTTACAAATGGATGTAGAGGAAAATCTGGGAATTTTCCATTCATGGCTTCTAGTCCTACGTAGCTCAGGACACTAAACCTTGCCTTGCTTTTGGTGCAAATTTACTGTGTTAATGCTGTGACACATCCTGCTTAGACCAGCCAAAGAAGGGAATTGGATCTCCCTTTGCCTACAGCCAATTAAGGCTTCTCAGAGGTGAAGGCAAAACAGGATTTTGAGGCTCAGAGATGAAGGGGGGAGGGCCAGCCCAAGGTCTCTTGCCTTTGGAAGGGAAACAGTGAGGAGAAAGGATGGAGGTGGGGCAGAGAGGCAAGAGGAGAACTACAGCTGTAGCCATGAAACCAGGTTTCACGCTGTAGGCATGAAAACAAGTTCATCGTTAACATCTTACCCTGTTCTGGGCTCAACCATCCAATTCTCAACATGACCAGGTTTAGTATAGTATCCTTTAAGCATCCCCTCTGCTAACTGTTTGCAAGAATTAAAATCTCTTCTATTTATGTCTTTATCTGGGGCCAGCTTCTGATCCACAATGAAACTTTGCATTTGAACCCCTCCCTGCTTGCTTTGTTTAACAGCTTCTCTCTGTTACCTTGCCTAAGGCTTTTTGACATTATTTTGACAGATTGCCTGTTATCTACCACTTCATGGAAGAATTCTCAAAAAAATGAGGGGAAAAGAATCAAAAGGAAATTAATGGAACGTTTTTGTTCACAAAAAAAAAAAAGGCAGTAGATGTTTTTAAGCTGCGGTTCTATTGGTTTGTTAGTCTTCTGTATTATTCTTTCAGTTATTGTCTGCGGTAATTTGTAAGGTCCATGACTTGTCTACATTTTTATACATTACTTTTATAACTTTTTAAACACATATTTCATATTTGTTTTACACCAATCCTCTGGAGCTATGAAATTCTAATGGTTTCTAATGAAATTGCACATTTTTTCATGGCAGCTTAGTCACTTCCTAAATTCAGTTCATTGGATGTAGCCATCTAGGTCTGGGGGCTTAAGTTTTAAAAATATCAGTCATCATTGATTTAATCATTGTTTTTGTTCTCTCCCTTATCTTTCTGATCAGGAAGAACTATATCCAGTTTAAGAAGTTCCCCACTTCCAGCAAATTGACTAGAGTCACAACACTCTCCATGTTGTCTTCCTTTTCTCCCTTAACTTTGGGTGATCCATAGAGCCCACCAATTCTTTGGTAGGTTTCCATCTTCTGATGAACTCAAAGAATTTGTTTCATTCTTCCCTCTCTCTGCTCTTCAAAATTAATTTCTCTCCTTTTTGCGTTTCCTTTTATTACTTGCTTGATGCATAAAGGTCTTCTTAAATGTCAGATTTCCAAATTTGGAAGATTTTTTTTTCTGTTTGTCTTGAATGTCCTCTATCACTTTGCCATTCAACGCTGAAAGTTTATTTCTTGCATTCCTGGTTCAGGAGCAGACCAGAAATTTATGTACGCATTCTGGAAAACAATGGTCTCTCAGATAACATCCGTGCAGTCTTAATGCTAGGGATTAGTTTTCTCAGTCTGTTAAAACAATATTTTCTAACTGCTTGTGTCATACTGTTACTTTTTGATAATCACATCTGTCCCTTGGAAATGAAACCTAATGGTATATATTCACTTTCTGAATTTGTACCTTGGTGTTTCTCAAGGCTAGGGCAAGGTGGTGTTTCCCTGCAGGAGACAGGGGCTTTTTTGCAGTTGTAGGAAGGGGACACTTACAGGGGTGGAGAACTCTCTCTGAATTCCTGTCCCACTGTGCTATTTGACTTGATTCTTGGTAGCTGTAGCTGTACATTGTTATAACTTGTTGCTTCTTCCACCTCTGTCAATGCTGTGCACTCAGTTTCATAATTTCTCAGTTTTTCTTGATCCAGAGACTAGTATAGACAGCTCCAATAATATGTATAGATATCCTGTGCATACCCATAGGATATCAAAGGGTTCATATCTCTATAAATGTCCTTGTATTCAGAACTGTTATTTTTCTTTGTTCAGTGGAAGTCTTTGCGTGTAGCTCTATTTCTGCATCTCACCAGCCTCACATGTTGTCGCGTTATGTTGGTAACTGCAGCCTGTGCAGTTTCTGCAATGTTCATGTACCAAGGTCTTTCTCTATAGCAAACAGCTCAATTTAACATGTTTGTGAGTTTCATTTTCTTGACTGTTGTACACAGATATTTGTAGGTTGTATTCTTGATGAAGTCCCTTTTCTTATTTAACTCTTCTATTTCACATCCTATCCCCCCAAGCCCATTTGTTTTGTTCTTATTTTGGCCCTATTTTAGGTCTCTTGTAATCCTATCCAATCCAATCCTGTACCAGTATATTACAGACATAGAAAGCAGATGCATCTGTCCATGTTCTCAGTTTCTGTTGGCTTCCCCTTTGCTCCTAGTTTATACACTCTATATCTGCTATTTCTCATGGCAGTTGTTGATTCCACATTGGCCAGAGTAAATCCTATCCCTTCTGTATCACTTTCCCGGCCTCAAAGCTTTTTTAGCGTCTATTAAATGTTTACCCCCTCAGCCTAGCTAAAAGCTGGAGTTACCCTGAATACCCTTCATGCTGGGGACCTGGTTTAGCAGGCATGGGCTCTCATACAGCAAAGGCAGAGAGCCATAAAGTGCTTTCTCCCATTTTTCATCTTAAGAGGTCATGGAAACTGTTGCAGTGCATTGCAGTCAGTATTACCCCTCAGCCTGTTTACTCTCCTGTCCTCTCTTCTGTACAGATTTGTTGTCCTCAAACCTTTGTGCGTGGCTCACTGCTGGGTGCTGAAGGAAGTGTAGCACGTGCACCTGAAGAGACAGGTTATGTTCCGGTGTGTTTCATTTGTAGAGAGCTGCCCCTGGGGAATGTGGCATTTGATACTCAAAATGAATGTACACGAGAAGCACTAAGGGATGGGTTTAAATGCAAAAATGACAGGTTCTTAGATGAATTCAAACCTTTGTGCGTGGCTCACTGCTGGGTGCTGAAGGAAGTGTAGCACGTGCACCTGAAGAGACAGGTTATGTTCCGGTGTGTTTCATTTGTAGAGAGCTGCCCCTGGGGAATGTGGCATTTGATACTCAAAATGAATGTACACGAGAAGCACTAAGGGATGGGTTTAAATGCAAAAATGACAGGTTCTTAGATGAATTCAGCATTGTGGGGCATCTCCAAAGAAAGGCTGCAGTAAGGAATGGAGCAACTCTTGGTGGGGATTCCCACTCTCTGTTCTGGGAAGCACAGATTGTCATCATTAATGGAAAATCTGGAATGAAACCTATCCTGAGGGATGGTGTTAGATAGAGATGAAGTTGGGCATTACAAGAACCTCTAACAATGGCTGTCTTCAATATGAATATACGAATTTAGGAAGCCAGAATGTCTAGCTACATGGACGATGCTACTGGTGCAATGTCACAGTTATATGGAAGGAGAGGAAGGGAGAGAGAGAAGTTTCTTAGGGGGACCCACTTCAAAGAGTCTGTGAGAGACTTCTTTGCAAGAGCAGGAGGCAGTCTGTCCAATACACCCCCATATGGGACTGTTCAGCTCTCTGAGATGTCTGACTGCCCGGCACCCACAGGGAGGAGGGAGAATCAGGAAAACAATTTGGCAATAACTTTGGTCATACCCAAGGCCTCAGAGGTGACGGCGTAGATCCAGCAGTGATGGCAAGCTGAGTCATTTTGGAAACAACCAGATCAGCTATAAGCTGTCTGTCCTCTTCCACATGCTCCCCAATCAGGGGCATCGAGCTGTCCATCACCTGCCACAGGACAGAAAAGCAACGGTTAGTAAGGAGGTTTCCAGGTGGCAGAAGCCTGTTTCAACTCACCACTCACATTAACCCGTTTTGGGTCTCCACATCCTTGCCAACACCTAGAGTCACCAGTCCCCTCTGTTCAGAAACATGCTTGACCTACCTAGGCCTGGGGTTTCGCTTAGGTTTTCTTGGAATGGTATGTACTTCCCCCACCTCCCCACCTTCCTTCCCTTCACAACTTGGAAGCCAAGCCAAGACTTCTGGTGACTGGAGACTTTCTGCATCAGCTAAAACCAAACTTTCTTTCTCACATGTCCTGAGGAGATGCCTCCGATGGATGAGGTTTCTCTGGCATTATCCCACAGTATTTGTGGGTGACACTGCAGCAGCAAAGACTACAGGGGAGGGGAAATAACGTGCTGAAGTCTGAGGAGATGAGAGCAACAGGCACTGGAGGAAACCAGGAAACATTTGGGATTAATCAACACAAAGCACCCTGAGAGGGGACATACACACCACAGGTGTGTAATGATTAGGATGTCACCAGACCAGCAGCACCTAATGCAGGAAAGTAAACTTATTCTCTCCTTGTCTTCTTGACATTGTTGTGATATGACTGCTTCCCAAGCAAGTATTACAACTGTCCTAGGGAAAGCTGGGAAGCAAGACTGTGGGGATGGGGAAGGAGAACCCTCAAAGGCTCTTTGAGGTAAGAAATGGTCTGACAACAACAGTAATAATGAAAGCACAGCAGCCCCTCAGCTGTGTAGCAGCAGCCCTAAACATCATTTTCAACAGTTCCTCATAAATCAAGTGCTTTGCAAACATCAGCTAAATCCCACAGGAAGAACTGCATGATGATGCCATTAAGATTCAGCTGGAGTAAATATAATTGTACCAAAATATCAGGGTTGGAAGAGTTTATTTTATTTTGCTTTTATTTTTAAACCAAACATTAAAACCCCTGGAAATGCAGAGTTAAAGGTTGCATTGCTCAAGAAAGGCACTGACTCAAGCTCAGATAACAATCGGAAGCACACTCCACCCTGGCAAGGCTGCAGGAGTCCACTCTTGGAGCGGAATGGAAAGCTTTCCACCCTTTGTTTTAGATTTAAAGCAGGGGAAATCAGTGGGGTGAGTTCACTGAGTTTGTATTCTGGTCTGTTCTCGCAGAATGTTAATGTGGATAAATTTCCACAGGTGTCTCTTCATACCACTAGAGAAGCTGCCTTAGGAAGTTTAACTGGGGTTCGCATGGTGTTTATATCCACAGCCTACTTGACCCAGGGGGCGGAAGGAAGAGGTTAGAAAATGAGATGGCAGTGCTCAGCCAAACACACAAAGTGGCCTCTTGTTCCACTGTCCGCTTCGTCGTTTCTCTGTTAACAAATGAGGTTGGGAAAGGAGACATTTCCCAGCAGTGTCACGGAGCAGCCAGTTCCCCCTGTGTCTCACTAGCCAGGGGCTCCCAGGGGCCCTCCAGCAGGTTCCTGCACAGGTTTCCCTCCCCTCCACTCCCACCTTGCAAGCATTCCCGTTTCATTTGGCAGTTCCAGCTCACGCGTGGGACAAGATGTGCCCCAGCTCCCTGCCAGGCACCGTGCGGGGACCTGCGTGACCACTAGATGATGCCATTACTCTGCTCACAGCCTGGCCAGCCAAGCCTGGCTCCTGGCTCCCTGACCCCCACTGCGAGTAACTGAGGTACAGCTCTGTATCCCAAACCCCTCATTTCCTCGTCTTAAGGGTCCCCTGTTTCTGTGGCAGCAGTGGCTGGAGAGGAAGGGGAAGATGCTGTTATATAGAACAGAGTGACTGGGCGCAATGAACCCTGGAGCAGGTCCCAGCTGATGCAGTGAAGGTGCACCGGGGACGAGGGTGTATGAATGGGAGCTGTGGGAGCTTGCAAATAGGGGAATGAACAATCATATGCATAAGGGAGGGCCTTTGGAAATGGCAGTGATTTCTGCGGGCAAAATGACACAACTGGGTGCCAATGAACTGAAAAGGAGCATGAGACGTCACCTCATCTGTTCTCTGGGAGAGGGGAATTGCTCTGGAACTGGGGAGATAGAATGGTAATGCTGAAATAAATCAAATGGGTGAGAGGAATACCCTCTACTCTGCTCTGGTGAGACCCCACCTGGAGTTCTGCGTCCAGCTGTGGAGCCCTCAATATCAGAAGGATATTGACCACTTGGAGCGAGTCCAGAGGAGGGCCACGAAGATGCTCCGAGGGCTGGAGCACCTCTCCTATGACGAAAGGCTGCGAGGACTGGGCTTGTTCAGCCTGGAGAAGAGGAGGCTCCGAGGAGACCTCATTGCAGCTTTCCAGTATCTGAAGGGGGCCTGCAAGGGTACTGGGACAGGACTTTTTACAAGAGCCTGTAGTGATAGGACAAGGGGTAATGGGTATAAATTGAAAGCAGGGAGGTTTAGATTAGATGTCAAGAAGAAATTCTTCACAGAGAGGGTGGTGAGGCACTGGAACAGGTTGCCCAGAGATGTTGTGGATGCCCCATCCCTGGATGTCTTCAAGGCCAGGCTGGATGTGGCTTTGAGCAACCTGGTCTAGTGCAAGGTGTCCCTGCCCATGGCAGGGGAGTTGGAACGAGATGATCTTTAATGTCCCTTCCAACCCTAACCATTCTGTGATTCTATGATTCTATGAATACGTGAATCAGGGACAGACTGCGCTCATCTCTTCCTGTGGAGATCACAGAAGAGCTGGACAAGGCAAGAAGCCATCGGCACATATGGACCCGGTCATTGTAGCTCCCCAAGCTCCTGATGCAGCTGCTGTTGCCTGATAAGGTGTACGAGGGGGGAGCGGAAAACGGCCGGGCAGGGGAGAGACTCCAGAAAACCCCATCCTGGCCCTCCCCCTGCACCTATCTGATTCTGAGGCCTGGAGGCTGGACTTGTTATTCCATGCTCTGATGTGCAAAAGTGGAGTGTTAGGTGATTTTTAGCGAAAGAAGGAAGGAAGGAAACAGATGATTAGACATATCAAAGGAATGATGTGGCACTGAAGGGATGGGTAGGGCTTCTTGCAGGGCAGCATGTCTAGTAACACGGCTTAGCTGATCCAGGGGGAAGAATAAATCACATGGATCATTCTACTTGCCATGTGCTCGCTCCATGTTTGGCAGCATAGCAGAGATGTGGAAAAGGGTTAGATTACAAAAAAACTAAAGGGATGGGGAAGATTATTAAACCATACACACTGCTGAGCATTTTTGAGAATCTGGCTGCTAACAGTGGTACTGAACTTACATGGTTTTGAGGATCTGGCCTCTTGATCAAGTGCTGACTATTCATGCTGAATATTCCCTTAAAGTGGCAAAGGTCTTTAAAGCAGAGGAAAAACAAGTACCAGCCCATACTGTTAAATTCACAGCTGTTTTAATAGAATGAAACTTTGAAGAAATCTACTGATTTCTTCCAAGTTTTCAATATGACCCATGAAAATTGTGCGTAAGCATGCTAGGGCTGTGAAGGGCAGAAGTGTACTAGATTCTGCTGTTTGCCATGGGAAAGGAAAAGAAGGTGAAGTTCAAGTAACAACAAATACCATGGGTGCAAGATTACTCTTGTGCTGTGTTCATAACTCATCTGTCTTAATCTGATTGCAACAGACCACTGTGATAAATCTCAGTTCATAGAACTGCCCATCACTATCTCTGCGAATCTTTCCTCGAGAACTGCTTTGCACTGTGAAAATTAATTACTGCCTGCAATGGCATTGTGCAAATTCCTTATTTGTTCAGCCCATTTAGGCGTGCTTTCTTGTAAAATGTCACAGCACGCTGTTCCTTCTCACCAAGAAAAATACAACTGTCACACTGTCAAATAACTTTTTTCTCCCACTATCAAAAGAAAAAGGCAAAATAAAGGATCAGTTTCAGACCAAGAAAAGTACCCCAGGAAGTAGGCTGGAGGCAATTAATTACTTGTCAGCATCTCCCTCAGATCTGCATAAAGTAGAAAAGGTGCCTGTTGGCCTTTGTTCTGCTCTTTGTATTGCACTCCTCTACTCCTTTCCTCACAGTGTCCATCAGCGTGGCATCTGAATGCCTGCTAGATGTTGCTACATCAGGCCTGCTCAATCAGGTTCTCCGCTGCGATAATTCAGCATGACCCATCTGAAGCTGCCCTGTTCCTTCTGATTTGTGTCGTATTAGAGCCCTCGCTTTTCACCTTGCTCTCAGAGAGAGGAGTATTAGCGTGCGTTTCTGTGCAAGCTGATGATGGCTGTTAGCGTATGGATGTGCTTTTTATCCAGTCAGTCACACACGGGGCAGATGTGAAAACCCAGAGGTATACCCAGACGGAGGCATAATCCTTAAGCACAGAATTAACCATGTGTGCACGTACATAGGCTTATGTGCAAGAATAGATGCAGGGATATGAAAACCACATCACGCATCTGACCATGTATGGACACAGTCCAAATGTCCTTACTTCTCTAGCGAGTCTGCTGCCTTGCTCTTCCCTTCTCAGCTCCATGTGCATCGAGATACAAAAGTGCGTGGCAGGGAGACAGTCTGCTCTGGGGGATGCTCCTCCAGGTGCTGATGAATTGCATACAGGAGCAGACCCATTGCCCTGGCCCCATCACTTCAAGAAAGATAGAGGCTCACCAGCGTGTTTGCTGGCAGCGTGCTTCTATCACATGGCCTTTGACAGGTCACTGCTCCCCTATGCACAGTCGCTGGAGGGCTCATGTGGTTCTCATCAGCATCCCAACCCTCAGCGGGTGGGACTGCTCTCCCACACATAGCTTTCCAGTGTGTCAGCACCCCTGCATGAAGCCATAGGCTGGCTCTGCTCATCTTCCTCAGCTGGCCTGTGTTGGTGGAGTTTACAGTGGGTCAGATGCTGTGCCTCCTTGAGTCACATAGTGACAGAGGCACTTGCTTACTTGCTAGATTTTCTCTCCCCCAGATTGTCTCTTAAATTTCCACTTCGATTTTCTGGCCAGCTTTTCCTTCTCTGCCCCTTTAGGATGACCTGAGTGTGATATCTGCTGCAATCCCACGTCTGCCTCCTGGCCTGGTAAGGAGCACGTTGAACGTAAGCGCTCAGAGCCACCGTCTGCCCAGCTAACAGGGCTCTGAACACAAAAGTGTATACTCCCCACTGCCCATAGTAACTCTGTGAGCTTTGTCTTGCTGGTCTGTTATTGTAGTGAATACTGAAGATTTTAGAAAATATACCTGGTGTTTAAATTAAATTGTTCCTGCTACTTAGGGACCTTTTTGCTACACTCTCATCATTTATTCTGCTCTTTTAAATAAGATACAGCTGGGATTTTTGTTATTGAGGTTCCCTTTAAATTGATCAGAGAAAGACAGGTTCATTCAGAGAGAAACTGTGCTTTTTAGTGGACTGAGTCACCTGCTGGACCTCTGCATGGGTAGTGGGGAGAGGTTAACAGGACTAATGTGCCAGCATCATCTGTCACTGCATTCAGGGTGCGCGGAATATAGGCATGTTTGTTCATGATGCTGTCATGATGCAGCTACGAGAGGTGTGCTGGCTTTGCAAGTGCCCAGCATAGGGAGGATGATGCTGGGCCACTGGTGCAGAGACGCACCAAACTTTGGGTGCTGCCAGCAACACTTGGAGGCTGTTAGTGTGCTCAATAAGAAGGCAGCTTCACATCTGGTCCCATGCTGGTAAAAGGATTCATTGGGTGGAAATCTGGGGTGGCCAGGCAGTCTGTGGCTCTCCATTTCCTTTCACAGTCCACACTGAGAAATGAAGGCATTTCAACCCTGACACATGCTTCTTGCATGTCGGTGGGCCACAGCTTGGAGGAAGCGGGCAGGCACCGAGGAGCAGTGGCTGCTTAACCATGCACACAGGGGCAGGATCTCACCTCAATGATATAGTCTTTTCCATCTTTGCTGTGGACAGCTTTGACAGCGCAGATGTCAAGCCCTCCAAACATTTCTGCGCAGGCGTCCGCCCAGAGTCTGTACCTGCAGAAACCACAGAAGCAAGACCTAGGATTAGCTGTCGTTGGAGCCACTCATCCTGCTGCCCATAGGTGCACAGATCAGTTCTGGATCCCTTTTTATCACAAGGCACACTTCACATGCTTTGCTGGGTTATTGCCTCCCTCTCTTGCACAGGAGATGGAGCAAAAGAAAAGAATCTTGCCTAAAATTTCCCTTCATTTCAGCTTGTTTCTATCCTGTCCTCAAAGCCACCTTAAAATGTTTCTTTCCTTCCTTGGTATTTACATCAGGTCTGTTGGCTGTCATTTAGCCAAGCTATAAATATTTAGCTCATTTAATCTCCCAGTGGTGTTGGCCCCTTAGCGTTTGCATTGGCTTTGCCTGAAAGCCCTCCATTATGCAGGCAGCTTTCTCCTGATAAGATGTCCTGCACATTGGGGCTGGAATAGGATCGGAAAGTGAGTGCAGAATTTAGCAAGGAGTAGCTATCCCCTCCCTGATCTGTAACCCAGCAGCGTCTGATTTTTACAATTTACTTTTTCGATTTCATCCCTTCCCAGTCTCCTGCCTCCCTTCTATCCCTGGGGCGTTGCTCCTAGCCAGGCAGTCCCATCACACGGAACTGCTTCATCAGAGGGAGAGTGCAGGCTGCAGCCCCTTTCTCTGGCTGGCCCAGAATGGGAACATGAGCTGGTATGAACAGGGGCCAGGCCTGGCGAGTGCCCCCTTGGCTATCCTGGTGTCACAGGAGGAGAGGGAATGACCAGAGGCATATTATGGGGGGGACCGCATCTCCATACTGTGGAAATGAGGAGGGAATGAGGGCGGCCTGGTTTTATTTCTTGTGCAGCTGCACTGCAGTCCCGAGCATTTCAATAAAAATAATAATCTCAGAATGGCAGATCTGTAAGCGGGACTATGACAAGATGCAGGGAGGGGAGGGAAGGGCACAGTCTCGTGAAAACACTGGCATTTTGCAGACCCTACAGGGACTGGGTAAAGAGCTGTTCTGGCCAAAGAACAAGTTTACGTCCTTGAAGCCAGCCAGAGTCCCCATAGCTTGACAGTATAATGATGCACTTGTGTGAATATGTCTGTGGGAAGAAGTGAGAATATGGCTCATACGACTACTGGTGTTCGCTTATCCCTAATAAGCACGTTCACCCCTTGAGGAAGACAGTGCCTGGGGAGGAGTCAGTAGCATGAGGAGGAGGAGAACTATGGACCCTGTGAGCCAGGCCGGAGGCACGGCGAGCTCCCCTCGTGTGCTGCTGTTTGCTCCACACCCATGGGCACCCTTCTGGGCACCACCTCTCCTCCTGAGGGATGACTCTAGGTGTCTGGGTTCAGTGGCCAGGCTCAGGGAGTTGTTGCCCATGCCAGAGACCCCAGTAGCTACGTGTCTTCAATGCTGCTGGCCCTAGGTGAGAACTGGGAGGAGTCAGGGCTGCTGGGGTGGAATAGCGGTGCTATGGGACAGAAGAGCATATTTATGCATATGCATCAGGGGTAACATTTGCAGAGGATTTACTGCCATTTTGCCTGGGATTACCTGGGCATGTCAATCCTTTGGGCTAATGTTCAGAATGGTAGGTACTTCAGGTTGTTCCTACACAGCAAAGCATTTCAAGCGCTCTCCTGCCTTGTTGCATGCACTGATGACTCACAGACTTCAGTAGGATTTGCTGCATTTATGGCTGGATAAGGCTGGAGTGGTGAATTGTGATAATACGTCTATAAAATGAACTTTCAAAATGCAGTGTGGTAGGTTGGCAGGAATCTGGGCTTTAGTCCAGCAACACTGCAGTGGGAGTGTCTGCCCTTCACCTTGCTAGCTTCAGCTGTGTTGTAAATGACCAGAATGCATAATAATGTTCAGCTCCCACAGTCCTATTAAGGTCTTGCAGAGGCACCTTCGTCATCTGATTTGGGGCTTGGCTTGGCTTCTGTTTTTCACAGAACTAAAAGTGCAGAAGAGACCTCAGATGATCACCTGCACAGCTCTTGTGCCCCGAAGAGGAGACATCTCTTTAATCTGGTCTGAAAAAGTACAGAGAATCCCCATCTCCCCCAGGCAATCCATTTCTGTGTTATGCTACCCTTACTGTTAGGAAATACAGGAGATGTTTAAACAAACATTTTCTGCTATAATTTAAGCCCATTATTTCTTACGCTATTGTACGAGTAATATAAAGAGTGAGTAATGCCCTGTTAGCAGCCTTTTATATATTTGAAGAGCTCGTGCCCTTTAAGTTTTTTTCGTCTTTAGGATGAAGTGGTGTTCAGCTTGTGGACCACTTCTTCCAGCACTGTGACAGCTAATGAAGGAAAGTGAACCTCTGCACTGCAGTCGTAGATTCATTATGCACAAGTCTACACCTCTGCTGGAAAAATATCAGTGGTCTGCTAACTGAAAAAGGTGGAAAACCACATAAGCAATTGTTGCATGCTTTTCATGTAGCTTGATTATATTTTTCTGAGCCTTCCCTTTATTGTCCTTTGGGCTCTCTCCATTGCTGTCTCTCTTCAAATGTGGTTCCCAGACGTGGACAGATTCAAAATTCTGACAAATTGGAGGTGTCCAGTCTGAAAAACCTTAGATTCACTAGGGATGAGTGCCAAATATAATCTATGGTTTCTATAAATCTACGAATAGTCTACTTAAATAGGATGGAGAACAAGTGACTTGATAGCAGTTCTGCCAAACAGAGTTTGGGAATTACAACAAAGCATAAGTTACCATGAGTCAACACTGTCATGCAGTTGCAATATTAGCAAATATCACAGTAATTTGAATATATGGAAGTATCATTTACAAATTTCAGTAGTAAGATGCACAAGGCAATTCCTTCTGTGCTGTTCAGCATTGTGAAGACCTTAGCTAAAACAGTGTCCACTTTTGGGAGACTAATGCAAAAAAGTGCTTTCAACACTTCAGCTGACAGATTTTTCCCTCTGTTGAGCAGAAGAAAAACACTTTTCTGTGTCTGCCTCTCATTAGTAATGTACTTAGAATAACTTCTTGTTACTTCTTGTTTTGTGCTATGACCTTTCTGATTTTATCCCTACATGTTTGTGCTCGTGTGCTTGACCTTAGCATGCTGGTCTTGTTTCCTGTGGCTACATTCACTAAAGATCTAATGATTTAGCAATGTTGGTCTCTAGCTGTACTTCCAGTCTGTTCTCCAAAATAGGACAGTTTGCCTTTTGTGTCCTTAGTGTTTTTTTAAGGAACCACTTGGTCTTTTAAACTTCTTTATCTAGCCTCCTGGGAGACTTTACTTACCAGTCCTCTCAATTAACCAAAGTCTGAAACACAATTCCTCCCTTCTAACCCAAGAACAGCTAATACTGTCTTGAAACTCTCTTACTTACCTCTCTGTCATTGCAATCTGTTCTAGCATGGCAGAACCTGTGTTTGCCTTCCAGTTTCCAGAGATGGATGTCCTCCTAGGAAAACAAACCAGAAGCATAACTTGAACATGAAAATACACTCCTGCCCCATCCTCCTTCATACTGTAGTCCTCATTCTTGACTCAGTGCTTGTACAGAAGGGGATCAGGCAAGGTTCTTCCTCATAGAAGCCTTTCCAAATCCTACCTGAACAACATAACATACAGGATATGTGGTTCAGACTCATGAAAGGCTGAATGAGGAGTTAGAGAGGGAAATCTCCAAGGAATCTTGAGCACACATCAAGCTCTGTGAGTACTTTCTTTCTTTATACATAAGGCTCGGGAGAGCTGAAATATCTGTAGAAGATCTCTGGGATAATCACCCTTGTGTTCTGCAATGGGTAGCATCCTCCATCCATAGAAAAGCAACTTTCCAGGCAAACATCTGCCTGAGCAGCTTTAAAAATGACAGTTCTGACATTCTGGGTCTCCATAGCTTCGATTTCACTTGTAATGGTGTCATATAATACATGATTATACCCTCTTTCCACTGATTTTTCATTGACCTGTCTGTGGTTCACTGCATTTGGACTTGGAGAATTTACCAGTGCAAAATTGGTGCAACTGATGATTGACTTCCAAAAATGGTACTGTTCTGGCAAATCCTGGGTTTCACCATCATCCATCAAGAGGTGAAAATTTTCTTCTTGATGGTAGGCACAAGGCAAACCTTGGACAACCTGCTGTGACAACCCTGTGCAGTTAACCCTGGCATAGTGTATAAGCTAGTAAAAGTCAACAAGCAGACAAGATACATCCAGGAAGCATCTCCATGCTGAATAAGAATTAGGTAGAGATTTATGAGGGGAGTGTGAGGTGTGATCCAACACTTCAACATGAGGTTGTGGGAACCCCCGCTGCCAGTTCTCTCACCTTTTCAACGTGATGTGGAAAAGAGACTCTGAACTTGCAAAACTATGTGGAGCAGTGGTAATACTGATGTCCTACTAGACTATAAACCTGGATTGTAATGGTTGACTGCCTAAAGTTCCCCATTATTCTGGTGAGGGACATCCTGGAGTCCTTTTTTAGTTTCTCTTCTAAAGTGGTATGTATAGTTGCTGTGAAATTCGAATGGTCTTTGTAGCCATATTTAAAGGAATGTGAGGGAAATACTTGTAAATATCTAAAGGGTGAGTGTCAGGAGGATGGTGCCAGGCTCTTCTCAGTGGTGTCCAGTGACAGGACTGGGGGCAGTGGCCATAAACTGGAAAACACAAGGTTCAGCCTGAACAAGAGGAAATAATTCTTCCCTGTGAGGGTGACAGAGCACTGGAACAGGCTGCCCAGAGAGGTGGGGGGGGGGCTCCTTCTCTGGAGACTTTCAAAAGCCGCCTGGAGACTTGTTCCTGTGTGACCTACTCTAGGTGATCCTGCTCTGGCAGTGGGGTTGGACTAGATGATCTCTAGAGGTTCCTTCCAACCCCTACCAGTCTATGAATTCTATGAATCTGTGGAAGCCAAAGGACCACGATCACTGTGTTGAATAACTGTGTTTCCATATAGTTGACTCTTGTCCCTTGTTCCCTTCACCCAACAACCATCCTCCTGCCCTACTTTCTAAGCACAAGAATCCCTCCTCAAGCTTTCTGTTATGAGCCCTTTAACGGCCTGTAAGGTCATGTTCAACCCTCAGTCTCTTTATTTTGACATGGGAGTCTTAGGATTGTATTCTCCAGTTCTGCAATGGGAATAACCACTCTTTATTAACATTTACGTTCAGAAAATTGCCCAGTGGCAGATGGCATCCAGAATCCCATTAGTACTGATGAGAACTCCTGGAGTCTGATTAGTGACAACATGATTGTATATCGGTGTTTAGAAAATGTACCTGGCATACCCAATGGAAGCGGCTGTGTCATCCCTAAGAAAACCAAATCACAGCTATACAGTTTTACAAGGAAATTTGATGTGGGAAAGCTCCCAAAATAAGAACTCTGCTCTAGCCATTAGGCTGATTGGTTTGATTTGTTTATGCCTACCCATCTCCAGCCAATATTTGGCATAAGATACAAAATATTTCTCTCAGCTGTATCCCTAACTTGCCTGTTTGGGAACTTTGCTGTTTTTAAACAGAAATCTTCATTTGAAGCCCTCTGGACCAGTCATCAAATTCCTACACCACAGCCTCTGTCAAGATCACTCCCTTCCAAGCATGTCTGAGCAGTTCAGGTGTCAAGTGCCACCAAACTCTTCTTTCCTTCCCTTTTTGTATTCAACCTGAAGTGGAAAAGGAGACTGAAGACAAAAACGATTCCCTAAGGATGCCCTGCCTCAAATCCCATTTCTCTCAGGAACTGAAAATCAAAGGGCTTCCAAACATCCTGAACATCAGGGGGTCACAACAGCATACAGTCAGTATCTTAAAGGAAAGGACCCCAGCCTTCTAGGGATCAGACCTGTGACCAAGCCACCTTCATGACCACATAAGGTAAGTGCGTAGACTAGCACATCATGGGCTGTTGCTATACTGGGTTTGCATGGTAAGGTTTTGGTAGGGGGGAAGCTACAGAGGTGGCTTCTGTGAGCTGTTAGGAGCTTTCCCTGTATCCCACAGAGCCAATGCCAGCCGGCTCCAAGAGAAACCTGCCGCTGTCCACCAGGCAGACGCCAGGGTCAGTGCAGAAAGGCAGGAGGAGGTGCCTGGAGCAGAGGTTCCCCTGCAGCCCGTGGGGAGGGGGCAGGCTGTGCCCTGCTGCCATGGAGGGTCATGGGGGGACCAGAGACCCTCCTGCAGCCTGGGGAGGGCACCACGCCGGAGCAGGGGGATGTGCCCGAAGGAAGCTGTGACTCTATAGGAAGCCCATGCTGGAGCAGGCTCCTGGTAGGACCTGTGGTCCCATGGAGAGAGGAGCCCTGGCTGGAGCAGGTTTGCTGTCAAGGCTGGTGACCCCGTGGGAAGCCCAGGCTGGAGCAGGCTGCTCCTGAAGGATGGCACCCCATGGGAGGGACCCACGCTGGAGCAGTTCATGGAGAACTGCAGCCCGTGGGAAGGACTCAGGTTGGAGAAGTTCCTGGAGGACTGTCACCCATGGGAGGGACCCCACGCTGGAGCAGGATCAGAGCTTGAGTATCCTCCCCTGAGGAGGAAGGAGCGGCAGAGACGTGTGATGGACTGACCACAACCCTCAGTCCTGGTCCTCCTGTGCCGCTGGATGGGGAGGAGGATGTAGAGTATTTGGGAGCAAAGCTGAGCCCAGGAAGAAGGGAGGGGTGAGGGGAAGGTGTTTTTTAAGATCTGGTTTTATTTCTCATTTTTCTACTGTGATTTGATTGGTAATAAATTAAATTAATTTTCCCCAAGTTAAGTCTGTTTTGTCTGTGACAGTAATTGGTGAGTGATCTCTCCCTGTCCTTTTCTCAGTCCATCAGCCTCTTGTTATATTTTCTCTCCCCTGCCCATCTGAGGAGACAGTGATAGAGCAGATTTGGTGGGCACTTGGCCTGCAACCAGGGTCAGCCCTCCACAAGGCCACAGTACAGTCAGTATCTTAAAAGAAAGGACCCAAGGCTTTTAGGGATCAGTTGATCAAGCAGATCTGTGACCAAGATACCTTCAGCATTGCTTAGGATAAGTGGATAGACTATCAGATCGTGGGCTGTTGGTGTCCTATACTCACCATTTCCAAGCTGGGCCATTTCAGTCTAAAAGTAGCTCTAGTTTAGACACAGTTGATATTGTATCCCCTGCAGATCGCATTGAACTGCATTTGAGTTACGAGATCAGAAGTCACACTCATGAAACTAGAAAGGAAAGCATATTACCCTCTTACTAAGAGCTGGTGGCAAGGAATATCCTGCTCCTTAAAGTCAGCAACTGCTGGCTTCATTCAAAGTGAAAAATATTTCACAAGTCCTAACTGGAAGCAATCCCTCTGTTTGCTCCCGGTTGGGGTGAAGGAAGTATAATTTCTACCCCACTTTCCCCTGCCACATGAGCAGTACTCAGTGTTTTCTCCTCACCATAATTACAGTGACAGTCAAATACATTTGGTGGAATTTTAGGCATGTATCACATGCTGCTTATCTGCTGTTTTGAGACTGGCCCAAGGCATGGGCTAAGTAGGTGTTTGTTAGAAGTGTAAATCTGGAGTCACTGCACTGAAGTCAATGGGAAACTGAACTCAAGCCTTGGGTCACGGGCTGGAAGGAAGTGCATTGAACATCTGGGGCGGGGAGGAATGCATGAGTCACCCTGCAGCATCCTCCCTCTGGCAGATGCTTGGTGCAAAGTAAACATATTCTGGAGAATTTCAATACAGAGCCTTTTCTCAGAAGAAAGGGGGCTTTTCAAGTCTATATGTGTGGGTGAAGGTATAAAAATACTGGGTAGATTTCATGGCTCACAGATCAAAGCCATTCGCTTAGCATGATGCTACTGCAGATGTTGTAATTGCCTTTAAGGCTGAGATTTGGTAGCATGACTAATGATCTTGAGTCTTCTATTTGAGACACCGGTGAGAGCTCTGATATTTTGGGTGCTTTTACCTCCATCCTTGGGCATTGTAGGGACTTACTCATACCATAGACCTAACCTTCTATTCAGCCTGATGCTGAGAGAGAAGGAACAGTCCCTCGTGGGACTGACTATACTGTTCTCCCAAGCTCATAAATGGCGCTCTCAGTACAAGTCAACCCTCTGGGTTAGCAAATTCCTGGGTGAATTTTGCTGTTTGCTTTCTTTGCTAATAAGCTTCATTTCTCATTAAGGTGTTTCCCGTTCATAGCTGTTTTTGTGTGAAAACATTTTTCATTTAGCAAACAATTGTTTGCACAGCTATATTCCCAAGTGGGATTAGGTCTTAGTGTGACTGCTTTCTTTCCTCAATCATCTGGTATTATTTCTGATCCCTGCCTGGATAAGTGTGTGGTGAGTGCGAATAATAAACAGGGAGAGGATATTGGTCAGGCTAACTGGGCCTTTGTTTCACTTAGAGGCAGGCTGGGAGCAGGCTCTGGGGCCAAGACTGGGTAGGTTGGCAGGAATATGGAATTTTAATTGATATTTTAAACCTTCCTTCCTTTGGCCAATTTGAGCCAGACTCCCTGAGATGTTAATGTAATATTAGGCAATTGTGCTATTGTTGACCCGATCAGATTTAAAACAAATTTTCTCTCACTGAGTTCACATGAAGTAGCCAAGTGTCCCACAAGTCCTTCCCATGAAGAATGTGGCTCAGTCATTATCTAGTTTACTTAAATACCTCTGTGCTAGGAATGCAAATGGGAATTTTAGGCAGCTATAGCTGAAAAATATGTGGTCGTGTACATTTGATTATCTTATTTAACTACGTTTCGCCAGAACTATGGCCTGGAGGGTTGTAAACATGGACGCAAAACTCACAGTGTTGTGGGTGTGAGGTAACATACAAAATGTATCTGGCGACCTGAAGAATGTACTGCTGGAGCCGTCTGCTTGCCCAGAATGTTGTGGCTGGATAAGGAGCTTCTGGAGAAGTTGTGCTATTTGGCTTTTCTCATCTACTGGTTTGCAGTAAGAAGAAACAGGTGTCTCACTGACTTATGTGGTTACATCTTCAATTGAGCTTGACGACTACTGATGTTTGACTGAATGCTTTTTCATACTTTTAAACATACCAGTGCTGAGGGATGCCTTCATGCCGCTTCCCTCGCTACCCCACGGGGCAGGGAGGAGCTTTGGGGCACCCACAGAAATGTCTCTCCTTCTCCTTTCCCTCCCTTGTCTGCTTCAAGGAGCGCTCATGCAACATGCTCAGGGAAGCCCTGCATGCTGGCCAGTCTGTGGCCGTGCGTGCCCCGGGCTGTGGTCCTCGTGTCCTCGTGCGACTGCTGTGCCATGGTCTCCAGCTGGGGAGAGGAAGGCATGTTTCTATGGATTGGACACTGTAGGACTCCTGGAGTTGCAGCTGGCTTAATCTTTTTTATTGTTTCCCCAAGGTGGGAAGGGGGTGAGTTCAGTTCCCACTAGAGGGTACTGGGAGCTGAAGAATGTTGCTGGGAAAGATGAGCCCTTCAACAACAGGAGGGAGAGGTGAAAGGTGATGGCAGAGCACAGCTGTTACAGTGGGAACTAACTGAATCTCAGAAACAGGTAGAGAGAGATTTACCTTCCAGAGACAATGAACTGACAGTGAGCAATGGAGAAGATGATTGGTGGTTGAGGGATCTGGGTTCAGAGGTGGGAGGAGGACAGCTGGGCTATTCTTCAAGGAAATTAAGTCAGTTCCCTACTCCTGCCCGAAGCAAGCACAGACTGGATCACATCCATAGTACTGCCTCCCCCCGTCTCACTCCGGCATGGCCATACACTCACATGTAAGCCTTGTAGTTGCTGCCGATTTTCTGGATTCGGATGTCGTACTTGGAGTCAATGAACGGCTCGGTGGTGGCATAGGTTTTTGCCATGGCCACTATGCTGGCCACATCCCGGAAGTCATGCTGGTTCTCAACTTTGACCTTGATTGCCCATATGCAGTGAAAAAGTGATGAGAGCAAAAAGAACAGGAATACGTTGTGAGCAAAAGTCATCTCTGTGCCCAAATAGCACAATGTCAGTGAAACCCCACACAGACGGAGCTGAGGACAGAGCAGGGATTGTGTGATTTAAAGAGAAAAGTTACCCAAACCAACCCAACCCAGAGCAAATCAACCCCTTTCTCCTTCCTCATGCACAAGCCCTGGCAAACCTGGCATCAGGGAGGCAGCTAGGCTTTTTCACAGATGGCTGTTGCTAATGCTCGTTACTTTTATGATGCTTCAGAAAAATACTTGGTCTCTTAAGGGGCATTACTTCATTCAAACACTGGAACTGCTATTTCCCATGTTGGGATGATGAAAACAGAGTATTTTGGGTGGTCAGGAAATAGAAACCAATGCCAGGAAATCAACAAGAGAGCTGGTTGTCTGCCACCTCTAGGCTTCAGTTCCCTGGCATTTCACATTACCCCCTCCAGACTTGCTTTGAGGAGAGGTGCAGGTCTCCTGGCTGGACACAAGCTCTGAAGTAAAGGCATGTCTGTGGGGGAGCCTGTGATTCTCAGGGAGATTTGTGTGAGCGCGATGCCATGGGCACATGTGTGGGACAGCTGGTTGGGTGTTAGACTTGAGTAGTGCTTGGAAATGAGAGGGCAGTGGTCTGTGAGCCAGAGGTTTGCTGAGAAGCTGGTTTTTCGCAGATTTGTATTCAGTTACAAGAAATGCTCTGTATCTTATTCACAAAAAAAAAAAAAAAGGGAAGAAAGAAGGACCAAAACAGTAGAAGCTCTAGTGATATGATCAAATCTCTTCAAAAGCTCATTGATTTGGGAGAGATAAACTGTCATGGTTTCAACCAGCACAAAATCTGAACAAGCGGGTAACAAGAACACAGTGGATAACTTTGCCTCATTCACACTATCAACCCTGGCCTTTAGTCTATTGGCAAAAGCTTGTTTGGTTCATCAGAGAAACCCGTGGAAGTCTTATTCCTTAGAGCCAAGCGGATGCAGGAAGGGTGGGTTAATTGGGAGAAAAAAAGACCAACATTGTATGAAAAGGGTGAGCGTGAGTGACTTTCTTTATGTATTACCTACACTTTGTAGTTTGGTAATGCTGTGAGACCACAGCTGGGGGTTGCAACCCTGCTTTGCTAAGTGTCTACTCGCTCGTGACAACCGGCCGGTCTCTGCCCCAGAAGAGTTTCCCGGTTGCGTCAGTGTGTGTGTTAAAGGAGGGTGATGCCAGACTTTGTGGAGCCAGATGAAGGAAGTGTGTGCAGTGGTATTTGGTGTTTCTTCGCAAAGAACAAACAAGTGGTTTTCCATATCTGCCTTCAACCATGAGAGGGCAGGAGCCATCTTCACTAGAGAACAGAGGACAAGCTTGTTGCAGACCCGTTTCACTCTCTTTAGGTGGTTTTGTGTAAATGCCAGCCATAAAATAAGCCAAAGATGCAGCCACATCCTGGTGCAGAAAAGCTCTTGAGAACCGGACAGGTTGTAAGGAAGGTGTAAAGTGCAAGTAGTTTGACCCATGACCGTTTCTAGATGCCTGAGTATGAATTAAAAAGATCTGGTCTTGTCTTCTCCTCTGCTGAACACCAAATACCCCTAGCCCTCCCTTTTGCTGTGGTGAGGGCTTGCTCTTGCTATTCAGGGACCCCTAAGAAAAGGAGCAGAGGAAGGGGACAGTCATCAGTGGGGTGGCAGGGTAGGGAAAAAAAAAAGGAAATAACAAACACAAAGAGGAAATGTAAAGGCAACCGTTGCACGTCATTCAGGAGGAGCAGCCTTGCTCCGGGCTGTGTTGTTCCCTTCTGTGTCTGAGTGGTGCTGTGTGCGGTGATGGCTGCTCCTGGCATGGCAGAGCAGGGTGAGGTGGTAGGAATAGCCCTAGAGGTGACAGAGGGAGTGGGAGAGGGGATCAGCTCACATGGTGGGGAGCCCGCATCCTGGGCACGGCTTAGAAAATACCAGGGGGTACAATGCCGGCTGTGCTGGGGCCGGGTATTTTTGTTGCACAGATAAGAGCTGTGCTGGGCTGAATGACACCAAATGGGAGAGTCCCACCCTGATGAGATGATGCAGGAGGGACTGCATGGGCAGGCCACGCACCATGTTATGACATATTCTTCCAGACCCTTTTGGCAATGGGAAAAGACAAAAGCCGTTATATAATGACCTACTTGGAACAAGGTTATTTGTGAGATCGGAAACAAAGTGCTGTGCTTGTGCAACAGATGTTTTTGGGCCCCGGCTGAAATGTTTGCATCCCCAGCCCAGGAACATTTGTCCCAGAGGCAAAGGAAGGGATGCTGCTTCCTTCTCCAGGTTGGAATTAGGCTGTATTGTTATTGCTAGAAAGGAGCTGTATGCTTATCTCATTAAATGGGATATTTCCTCAAAAATACAGCATGCTATGGAAAGGAAGGGTCCATTTTTTCCTCCTCTCCATCATTCCCTCCCTATGGAGAGAGAGGGAGAGCACTGAAGGTGTTTTCTACAATAAGCCTGAAAATTTTTGGCTGGGTAAATAAAGAGGGGGGCACTCACTGAGTAGACAAAATGAGAAATGAAAACCAAAGAAGATGACTCTCACAGTCTATGTGACTGCACAGTCCTCAGGAAACAGCTCTGCCATCTTCCCTGTCCCGTGCTAGAGCCCTTCCCATGGACTTTTCAGAGAATGCACCTCACAGAGGTCCCCTTTTAGGAGATCATGGCCTTATTTCCCACCAGGCACCAAAATAATCGCCACACCAAGGCTGAAATCTGAGCCACCGGTTGTTAATTGTTAGAGCCAGCCAAATTTGACAAAATAACAGCCGTGTCCTGGGTTAACGCTGGTTTAGTCCAGGGTACGGTTATTACTTCATAAACAGGAAGCACTCGAGTTACAGTCAAATTAGATTTATTTTCCTGCCTTATCTATCAAGCCCACCATTTTATTAGCTTTCTACTTTTAAATTTTGTATAATTCATTTCCTCCTGCCTTCTAAGCCTTTTACATCTCAATAAAATATCCATTCTCCTAACAGGAGAAAAAACCCCTAGAGATAACCAAAGCCAGGGTGGATGTAGTATGATGCCAGAGGGTATTATTTAAGAAGGGACTATTAAAAATAGTTCTAGAGCAAACAGTTACCAATTTACCTAAGAAAGTATAAATCTGTCTTTGAAAATGGTAGGTTGGCCAATGCATGAAACTGAGAAAAGAAGTTGTAAAGAGATTGAACAGGAAGCCATTTTTTTCCCCTCTCTCTCCCCCCTCCCCACCCTTCTTTGGATAAACGCAATATCCCATTAGCTGCGTAGAGGAGTGCAAACAGCGAGTGCAAACACAGCCCCTGCCCTGGCAGCCTGTTTGCTTAGCTGTGCTGGCTGTTTGAGCAGCAATAGACTCATTCTGGGGCCATCAGCTGCTGTTTGCTGTAGCATTTTAGTGACCTGTCGTGAAGAGTTTGGGCCAGTGTGTTGACAAATGCCTTTTCTGAGTAAGAAAAGAATAGTCCCTGCTTCCCTTCAGTCTCTCTTCTCTAACCCAGGCACTGCTCATGCCCTAGCGCTCCCTGTTGCTGCATTGGAGAGAGGAGTCTGGCTGGATCCCTGGGTACATGCCCACACAGATGTGACCATCCCTCTGCCCTGTGGTGGCATCTCAGAGTCTGCCCATTCCCATCCTCAGCCTGACCAAGAGGCACGGATTTTCTTGCCCTTGGTTGGAAAGCAATTCGAAGGTCAGATCAGGAAGAAGCACTTCTGCCCCATCCCTACTGTGGACCTTCCTTTGAGGCCTTCCTGCAAAACAGGATTTTGGAGGGTGGGTCTTGGCATTGTTAGAAACCCACTGTGGATATTTCCCAAGCAGTCTGAGCCACTTTTGAGATCTGTCTGAACACAGGTTCCTGCACTGGGGGACCTGCGTAGAAATTTCTGCTTCCTCTGTCTTGTAGTTCCTGAATCTACTGCCTCTTGTATATCCCAGATGTTCCTGGACACCAGGGTCCTAAGGCTATGTCTCTCATTTTTAGCCTAAGCACTACAAGGTATTGCCTCACAGTCCCCTTTTGCTTCTGTTAGTTACGTGGCCACATGAAAAAATAGTCAGTCGGCCAAAGTGTCATAATTATAGTAGTCTGTTAGGGCTGCCCTAGCCTTGCCTTTCTGAGTGTCATCCAGAGTTAACTCTGCCCTACAGGTTAAACCCACACCACTTTGCAGACGGCTCACAGAAGCACTTTCTGTGCCCAAACTGGGGTTAGAGGCAGGTTCAGCGGGAAGGTAAGTGTCCAAGGCTGAGCCAGGACTGGGCTTGGCAACGTGGTGTTTAACTGAGTCTTGGTAGGCTTGTGAAAATGCACAGTCTGAGTATTTTTCTCCAGAGGAACTGGCGTGGCCATGCAAAGCTTGTGATTTTTCATCCTTCTTGACCTGCATTTAGGCTTTCTGTAGGGACTACCATTTTGGGACAGCAGGTCTTCAGGAATGGGTCTGCACAGAGGGTCTCTCCTTCCCTCTACTCCAAATTCTACTCCCCTTCTCAGAAAATACCTGATCCAGCTGGCACACATTCAGTTTAGGCCTAACTGGCCCACCTCAAAATAATAAAGACACAACAGAGCCTGCCTGCCTTATTATCGTTACACTGAGGTTCTCCAGCTGTTACTCTGCCTTTAATGCATTAAACCTTATAATCACTACTAATTTGCTAACAAAGAGCTCCTCTCAGCCCCAGGTCTTGGCAGCTTTGGTCCCCAGTACCCCAGATCGGTCACCATTTTCTGTGTCCAGCAAAAGCTTCCAGACTGATGTGCAAAAAATGGGGTTGTTTTTACTATTTTCAAGACGGGTGGTACCTCCTCGCTTATGAGTCAGTGGGATCGCAGTGATTGGGCTGCTCTGTTGTGAATGTTACATGTCAAGTCATTATTTGTCCTCTGTAAAAGAAAATATTTGTCCCTTGACAAACCGAGGCAGCCCTTTCCCCTTCCTTTCCTCTTTAGCACACTGGATTTTCAAAGCTCTCACTTTTGGAACATTCTATTTCCAGTTCCGAGAGAGACAAGGTGACGAGCTGTCCTTCCTGATAAAAAGCCTGCAGTATTTTTACATTACAGAGTGGCTCTGTTTAGTTTGTGCTATATTTATACCAGGGAAAAAAAATAGTAGAGGAGTCTTTCCCATCCAGTAAGAGAGAAAATAACTTTGACCACATTATTATGAACAACAAGTTTTTCTTCTACAATGTAATAAATTCATCTGAGCCAGGATTGTACTGGGGAGGTGTTTTCATAATTATGGGGCAGGAGGGGACAGGAGGTGACTTAAACTGGGCTAATTAGAGAGGTCTTAAAAATAAATTAAGAGTAGCAAAAAAGAATTATTAAATTCATAGAAATATATAGAAAGCCACGTGAACAGATACTGTTTTGCCTCTTGTTGCAGATCTGGCAGTTGTTTCTTTCTCATGATCTGATCAGGAAGAGGTGAAGAGGCTCTTTGAGTGAATTTGCAGTGCTGGGCTCTGTTCCTAGGGCACTTCAGGGTCACGTTAGAACACAAATGGCAGATATTAACACACTCGGGGCTTTATTCTTTTCCATGGGCTCTGGCATTATGAGATCCGGAGTCAGGAAGAAGTGTTACTCCTTTCTCACTGCAGTGCTCACCCTATTCAACAGAGACCCCAATCTCTTCTACGGTAGGTAGGCTCAAACTGCACAATGCTTAAAAATGCCTAGGAACTGCTGGCTGAACAGGAGTTCCTTTCTGCACAGGGAAGCACATCTCTCCTCAGTGTTCATCCATGGTTTCCCTGGAAGAGTTCTTGAGTACTGCCTGGGAAACTGAACCACAACATGAGAAAGATCCTTCTTTGCTGACTCCATTGTAAACCATTGTCTAAGCAGTATTTCTACAGATACTGTATTTGTATCGATACTGTATTGGACCAGCAGCACGCAGAGCACTTGCTATGATCTTCCATTGACAGTGAAATACGAAGTGACTCCAAATTTTGGAAGGGAGATAATGATGGTCATGGGAGGGGCTGAGGAGCTTATGTCCTGGTTTTAAATGAAAAGATTGTCTGGGGCTCCTTTGTCTCTCTGGGTGAAGGCTATTCCTGGTGTCTCTGCTCAAGTCAATAGAAAGGCTGTGGTTTCTGGATTTCTCAAGGCAAATTTAAAAAGATGCCTTTTAATGCAAACTTGTTTTCTTCATCTCCACCTGCACCTTATGTGCACGTGTTGCTTAGCAAGAGCATTTCTATCACTAATGGTATACTGCCACCCCTTTGGGTTCTGACCTCGAACACTAGACTGCTCCTCTTCCAAGCTAAAGATGGTCCATAGACCAGTTTCTTGCAGGTGCTAATATGGTAATTCTCTATTTTAGCTTTGAGGATTCTTTGTTCAACCCTCTGATTAAAAAATGTGGTGAGTGAATTTTGTGAAAATGTTGTGAAAACAATAAGTGAAAATGAAAGTCTGACTATTACAATTATGCTCTTTCTAGCCATTATTGCAAAATAATAAACATTCGGCACTTCTTACAGTGCCAAGAGCCTTATGAACATGAATTAGGAGTAAGTATCAGGTAATCATTATAATCTCTCTGGTCTGTAACACAGAGGAACTGGAGAAGAACTGTGAAATGACACAAATGCCTCTGCAGGTCAATGGTGGAGCTCTTTGTGTAAGAGGACTTTTTTGTGTCCACAGTTTTTTTGTCTCTTGGCCACTGCTTCAGTACAAATAAAGAATAACAGTGTCTGGACTTCCCATCTTTACTCATTCTCCTAAGTCTTAGCACCTCCCATTACATGTGATTTTATCATTAATAACAAGAAAAATGTAAGTACTTCTGTGACAATTTCTGCTGGTAATGAGATTGTAATCTGAATGCTCACATCCTTTGAAGCACCCATCACAGGTACAAATACATGGCTCACTATCTTGGCATCGTTTGTTGCAGTAAGTACTATTTTTAATACTCATGTGTACTTTGGCTAATAGGTTGGTTATTTTATCCTTTGTTTCTTCAGTCAGTGCTTTTACACAAAACATGACCCGATCCAGGTGCTTTATTAATATTTACTTTCTTACACTCATCTAAACCAAAAGCCAACCTCTCTCTTTTCATATTATGTATATTTTCCAGCCAGAGACCTGCTATTTCCTGCTATCATCTCTACTTCTGAAGACCAGTGCAAAGAAATCTTTTAGCTCTCTGTAATCTCCTTATCGTCACTAGTTATTGCTTTTACATTATGATGGTTAAAACTACCATTGTGGCTCCTGGAAATTTTCCTCTTCTGAATTACTTAATTGCAGGTGATTTTTTTTTTTTTTTTTAAACTATAGGTGTTACTCTTCTAGTACACCCATAGTTCTGCTTATCTGTATTTCTCCTGACATTTCTGCTTATCTGTATTTCTCCTGACGTTTAATGTGTTTTCTTTCTGTCAAGCCCATTTGGGCTTGAACCCTAATGACTTAAAACCAGCATGAAACAAATTCCTGTTACTTGTCTTTTCAACTAACTGACTTGTTCTTTATTTTATTTTCACTTTCTCTCTTCTCTTTTTACTCTATGCAATGAAATGCAGTCTTCAAGGCGACTAATTTAATCAGTCTCAACTTTCCTTCAGGCTGTTTGTGGCTGGAGAAGGGCCCAAACTAAAACCGTAAGGTCAACAACCTTTCCTTCCTGTACCTTCCCCATCTACTGAACAGAGCAGTGTTGAAACTCTGTGCCCAAATCCACATCCAGGCTTTGCTAGTAGTCCCTAATTTCATAAGGGACTAAAGTAAACTTGGCCTCAGGCCAATTCTTTCTTCTAAGATGTTAGCTGTCAGCCTATCTTCATCAGGAACGACTTCCTATGTACCCCCCTTGTACCACTGTGTACAATTTTGCCTGGAGTTTGAATAGAAACTCTCTTCCACTGTAACTTGTGACAGCAAAAATCAACATCATTAAAGAAGAAAATGGGAGGGCAAGTGAGGTGGAAGAAGATCTGGTGTCTGGGGTACTCTTCCCTGATTCTGCCCTCATTTCTGTAGCCACTGAGGGTCACTTGTGCGCAAGAGAGACATGTGAAGCCCTCCCTGTATTACAGATGAAATTGAAGAGCAGTCAGAGAGATCCACAATTTCAGGGTCTCAAGGAACTTGAAACCTTTCCTTGGGGAGAGGTTTCTTTCTCCTGGTTTGTCCCAGTTGGATTTTGCTAATGAAAGCCTTCCGAGGGACGTGTTCAGCGGGTCTCTGTACAAGCAGCCCTAGGCTGTCCGCGTGTACTCCAATTCAATGACACCTCTGCCTGTTTAACGTACGCAGCACCAATATTTTAACAAACATTTCCTGCTTATTTAAATGTTTGTTCTTTGATGCTGAAAGCCAACTCCACCACTGGCCCAGGGCTCTGAGCCCACTTCCTCTCCAGCATCTACAACCCAGACGGAGGAACATTGCAACCAAAGCAAGAAAGATTATGAGAGCTTCCATGTGCAATCCAGGAAGCCAGAAAGGGCTTCTGTTTCCAGAGCAGAAGCAAACAAACTGTACCGAGTTTCAGTTTGGCGTACCTATATATAATTTTCAGGCAAAGTGTGAGGCTGGGAGAAGGTCTGTCTGCTCTAGGGAAGCACTGTGACAGGGGTATCAGTTAGGAAGTTAATACACCACCCATTTGGATTCAGAGATGATACATCAGTATTTCCTACTTCTAAACAAATCAAGTTTTAGGCAGATAGGAGATGCCTTTTTAAAAGGTATATGCAAGAAAGGGGAGGCTAAAGTGCAGCAGAAATGTGCTGACGATGCCTCGCTGAAAGGGGAGCCCAGTCACCCCCAAAAATGGGCTGCTAATTCACTGGGGGAATAAAGATCCCGGAGAGCCTGGGAAAAACAAACAGGTCCTTCTGGGGAGTGAACTGTTTTTCAGGATTCCTTGGCAGGCAACCAGCCACTCTGCTTTGTAAGGTCTTGTTCTTCCTTGCAAGGAGGAAAAAAATAACTGAAGGGCTCCCATTTTATTGAATAAGGTCATCATAATGCACTCAAAAAGACCAGTGCCACTGCTCCTCATTGTGAGAGCTATGGGGTGTAGCTGCACATTACAGGTGCTTGAATAAACAACATTGCTGCTTTCAGGAGAGGAGAAAATATATAAAAGACGAGCCTAATGACTTCAGCCCAGCCAGCTTTTCCCCCACTATTCACAACCCCCCTTCCCGCATCCCAGACAGCCTCCAACCCAATACCACTGCTTGACTCCGAGTGCATGACAGCGGAAAAAGGCCTTTTCTCCCACAGGAACAGCCAGTGCAACCCAGATAGGCTGTGGGGAGGTTTAACCCCTTCACTGGCTGGCCCGCTGTGTACGATCACAGGAATGCTGTGCCACATATATATCTGTTTCCTGAGCTATACGTATTTTTTCTTTTACTTACCTTCCCCATTCCAGCATGAGCATGTCCCAGCTTGACTACTACAGGGAAATTCGGAGTTATGAGCTGAAAGACAAAATAAGGAGCTCCTCATTAGTTATTTCCAGCCATTGTATTTGAAATAGTTTACTTTTATTTAGTACCTTTTATCCCCTTTCTGGATGCTGATGGGAGGATAAAAAGGTCAAATGAAGATTGCCCAGGTGGGAGGACAACAAGCAAATAGCTCTTTACGGGGACCCATATGATCTGAAATGGAGGCCAGGCAGAATTCCTTAGTTCTGACCCACTTTTGCTGTCTGATAGCAGTAACCTCTAAAACATTCTTATTTTCTCCCGTTGCTTTTCCCACCCTGTATGTATGGATGTGTGTACACTCATATGCATGTAAAAAAGCTACACCTGCCAGCTTGAGTAAGTGAACACTTTCAGATGCTGAAAACATCTGAACCGTGAGAAAGACAAGGGTTGTTTGGGTTTTTTCCACACAGACTACTTTGGCCTTTAAAATGAGGGTGAGTAGTCCTTCAGCAGCTCCCATTTCCTTCTGTCAGCAGTGGTGGGGGCAAGGAGAGAGGGAACAGGGGCCAACCCTTGGGTGCAACTCACAAAGTCCATCTATTCATCAAGACTCTTCCTTTCTTCCCTAACTTCAGGGGTGGGTATAGGGAATAAAAGAAAACAAAGAAGGGTTGGAATCAGCAACAAAAATAGAAGAGATTATGTCATGTCTTCTCCCTGACTTGTGTGGTGTTTACATTGGGCAGCGTCCTGCCATCCGAGCCGTGCAAGTGCATCTTAGTGCACATGTGGGATTTTACCTGGAGAACTGCAAGTATCCTCTCTGCCTTCTATGCCCCAGTTTTGTGCTCATTCAAGGATTCACTTGGAGCGATCGGCTGAGAGCCGGATGGCTGGGCTGATAGGAAGTGCACGTGCCAGGAGTAACTAGGATATATATGTACCAGTTGGCCCTTTTCTATGCCTCTGCTTGACATTCCAGTGATCTTCATCTTGTCCTGTGCTCCCGATTCTTGTGCTCTGAATTCTATGCCTTCAGTAGAATGTTAAGTAACAGTACATAAACTGTTATTTTTTTATTGCATATTTAATTTTCTTTAGGGGAATTATTTTAAAATACCCTTTTGTTTTTACCTAAATACCTGAAGCGATGAGCTCTGTTCATTAAGCAGTTAACCTGGAGATCTGGCAATGGGAGGGAGTTGAATTTTGACAGATAAATGGCTCTCCTATTTATTTAAGTTTGAGAATAGATAAACAAATTGTTCTTGTGCTAATTACCAATTGTCTGTATGGACGGGCAGGCGCTACGCCCTCAAGATAGAATAGTGCTGCAGCCTCCATCTGTGGCAGCTCACTATAAATAACCAAATTAGTAATGAACACTGATATGTTTTGCTATTCAGCTGCTTATGGAAAGAAATGTCACAGGAGAGGGGAACAGCGAGTGCATCGTGTTCTCAAACAACCTGTGTCACTTGTGAGGGCCTTCTTCAGGCAGAAAGCTGAAGGAGCCTCTCCAGACCACAGAAGGGCACACGGCTGCAATAAATCACAGTGCTGGCACGGGCAGGGACCAGCACCCACTCTTTCAGAAGAAGAGGCAAGATGCTGATAAGTGGCCATCCTGAAGCCCTGTAGTTAAGCATATGCCCAGGCACATGAGCTTGTGCTCTGTTTCCCCTTCGCCTCTCTAAATCATTGCAAGAGCCTGAAACTTAATTTGGTGCTGGTGTAAGTGAATCAAATGGAGGACTGCACCTGGGTCTTACTGGAGATCGGGCTATGGATGGACCGTGCCAGGCCTTTAATGCTGGAAGATGGAAGGTAGCCTAGTAGTTAAGGCACCCACCTGCTGGGGCTCTGGGAGACCTGGCTCGCTTCCCAGCTCGGTCATCCATGCCCTGTGGCCACCGATTGAGCCAAAACGCTTGCAAGCCCCAGCCTCTGCTCCCTGTTTGTGAGCAGAGGCAGCAGCTGCTCGTACCACACAGGAAAAGGGAGCTGCATGCTGCGAACCGGCCTGATACCCTGGCAAGGAGGCCAAAGAAGTGTGCGGGATAGATAATGTTATTATCACCAGCTCAAAGAGCTGGAGGCAGGAAGCGATGTCTCTGCTGCCCGGTTTGTGTACCCTACCTGTGGGTTTTGCTGAGGGAGCCTGGCTAGAGCTTGGGGCCTGGGAGTAGGAAGCATCTGTTTCCCTGGACATGTAAAGAAAGTTTGGGATCCAATAAACAAACGATGTTTACTGCTAGCCTGGAAAAAAACATGGGCAATGACAACGCTCTGTTCAAACCTCTCCCTTTCTCTTTGCTTCTTGGAAACATGAGCTCAGCTTTCTTGGTAAGGCTTGGCCTCATCCCACGTAGGGGTGACCAGCTGGTGCCAGAGCCCGCTGGAGTCACAAGCCACTTGGGCTGGCCATAGTGCGTGGGGCTTGGGGTGAAACACAGATCCAGGCTCTCAGCATGTGGCAGCCTCGCTGGGAAGGCTGCAGCTCCAGGGAAACGCTGGCACATGGTTTGCCAGGTATCTGCTTCTGCCGCTGAAACCCCCCCAAAATTTCCAGGCATGTGGATCTGCTTTATGGAGGAACCAATGAGAGAGAGCAGCACACGCACTTAGCTGCATTTTATAATGGGTGTATTCCGTGACAATGGAGCGCCCTTGGTCTGTGCTGAGGTTAAGTGGAATCGACAGCTCTCAGGAGTCCGCAGGACTAAAGCAACCAGAGTCCACGACCACCCAACAATGGACCTAGGAAGCCCTAGCTGAAGTGGTAGAAGCGGGCTGAACTCCACCATTAATCCAGTCAATGGGGATTCTTCCAGCTTCCACCAGAGTCATGTTGGGACCCGAGTCCCATTTCTGTTGCTAAAAGGTGGTCAGCCAGCATACTTGGCAAGCATCCAGATGGATAGGGAAGCTGAAGGAAGGGAGAATCTATTGTACACACGACTATGAGGCAATTCACACACATACATGGTGAGAAGTTTGGGGGTGGCCACAGCCACCACAAGGGCAGACCTCTGAGATGAGTATTTACACATGCTTAGTCATAGATTTCCTGGGAAAGGAGATGCTTATAATCAAAGGATAGCACCAGAGTTTAATTAGAAAAGCATGTTTTTGCTGAAGTCATGCAAAGAAATTTGTCTGTGTCTTTCTATGTGTTTGTTTATGTGTTGTAAGGGCTCTTTTTCTTGGAAAAATGGAGAAAACACTTTGATGCTTTAAAAATTTGCATGAGCTGTTGACAGGGCTGGTATAGATGATGTCTGAGGGTTTTGGGATGGGACTGGAGCACTGCAGTTTGCTCAGCGATCAGATGCAGGGTGTTCATTCATGCGCATAACAACCCTTTGAATTGAAATCCTATAAATGTATTTCCAGATGTTGTCACACAAAAGCCTTGAGATGGCAAGGTTTACAGATGTGTCTAGAACGCGGTGTATGAAGATGCTTGCTTACAGTCAAGCAGGAGTTTGAATCCTGAGTTAGGAGCTCAGCAAAGCCATCTTTGGTAGGACTGAAGGGAGAGTCATGAAGTTATTTCCAACTCACAGCACTGGTGGCCCTAAGTACAGCATTTTAGCTCCTGATTTTAAGGGCTCTGCTCTGTGTGTAGTGTCACTGCAAAGATCACTTTGCAGTTAATCAGTATTTTGGCACTGGTGTGTAAAAGTGAGTGCTGGTATGCATACATTAACCTCTGTTTGAAAACACATAGCTGTAAACTATGACACTTTCCCCTTTCCCCTCTGCCCCTCCTTTCCAATAAATAATGAGATTTTCAATACTTGTAAATATAGGAATATTTTCTGTATTTATTGCTGGTGGAGCAGTAGAAGGGAGTTGGATATAAATGGATCTGAAGGGAAGAATCTTGGATTAAACCTTATCTATCCCATAAATACAATGCTTTCCACTCACTGAGGCCCTCAAGAAAGAGGCTGATCTTAGGTTTGTGATTTTATGTAATGTCCTGTAGTCCATAAATAATGCAGATTGTCTCTTTTGATTTCCTTCTGCCATGTTTAGTTTTGTGCATCAGTTCACATCCAGCTTATGTCATAAAATGCAATTCCAGTTGCTAATATTATTGTTTCTTCTGCAAAGCCTTTCCAGTCAATGTTAAAATGAATAGTCCAGGGTGTAATGACATCATGGATGATATTAGAGAGGATCTGGGGAGATGGGAGATGGAGGCATTAAAATTTTGGTCTCTTGGCACCACTATTGTATTATCACAGTGTCCGTGGGCCCAAAACCCCATAGCACAAGGTACTGTAATTTCTGCTTCACCCTTCCCCCAGAGGTAATATGGTGAATTTTCTAAAGTTTTATACTCTAAAACTGACTTTTCTGTTTATTTAGCTGCTTTATATGATGACAAAGTCTGTTCTGGGTGGGTACCTAATGGATTATGGGAATGTCGTTCACGCACTTGAGAGCTAAATGTTGAAAATAAAGTGTGTGGCATTTCCCTGGTGTCAATTAAATTGGAGGAGCAATGAATATATATGTGATTTCCTGTAAAAGCAAGTAAGCTGGTTCAAACCTACAGGAAAGTAATGATGTCATGACATGATGCCATTTTGTTTATGGAACTATCTTACTGAAAATCTGAGCTGAAGATAAACACTGGTTTCATGCCAGCCTTGCCAGGAAGGGCAAAGACAGAGCTCTATAGTGAAATATGGAGATGAAGCAGTAGTTCTCCCTATTATTCACTTACTCACGAGTTGACATAATCACTGACTGCACATAGCATGGCTCACCCACTGGATTAATACTGTGGCCCCTTGGAGGTTTGTGGTGGCCAATGGCTATGACAGACCAGTCCTTCCCCTCTGCTGTTTACCAGATCAGAAATGGTGTAAGAAACAACAAGCAACGATGGGAGAATATGTTGAACAATAAGAGTTGCCAGCATTAACATCTGTGCTCTATTAAAGACACGTGCTATGGATTCCTTTAAAACACACACGTGTGTATTCATTACGGTATTATAATTATAGCGCAATGAAGAAAAATCGTCA